AGCTGGGGGCTGTCCCCTAGCATCATGTATTGGTTATACACGGTAGTTGTTAGGCCGATTCTATTATATGGGGTCTTGGTATGGTGGCCAAGTCTCAACAGGAAATCTACAACTGAAGCACTCCAAAAGGTGCAAAGAACTGCGATGCTCTGCATCTGTGGGGCCCTGCGCACAACTCCATCGGAGGCTATGTGCGTGCTCCTCGATATTTTACCAATTGAAATTGTTGGAAAGCAATCAGCGGGGTGTGCCGCCTTGAGGTTGAGGGAACTACCAGGCTGGAGGGACACTCAGGAAGGCCACACCGCAATCTTAAAGGACATAAATATACCGGACACGGATTACTGTGCACCAAGGTTGAACTTCACAAAGAGGTATAGGATTTCCATTCCAGATAGAAAATTCTGGTCAGGAGGGGCTCCCGATGACAATGGATCACTCCACCTCTACACCGATGGCTCTAAGCTAGACGGCAAGGTAGGAGGGGGGGTCTTCTCGGCCCGACTGGGGCTGGAAATATGTTTTCGCTTACCCAACCACTGCAGCGTCTTTCAAGCTGAGGTCGCTGCCATACAGGAAGCGGTTGAACACCTACGTACAAGAGAAGTCATTTATAACGATATCTTCATCTACTCAGACAGTCAGGCCGCACTCAAAGCGCTCGACTCGGTCACATGCAGTTCAAAAACCGTAGCGGACTGTCGCAGATCTCTAAACGAGATGGCTGAGCAGTCTGCTCTTCACTTGGTATGGGTTCCGGGGCACCGGAACATACCAGGCAACGAAAAGGCGGACGAACTTGCAAGAGAGGGCACATCCGCTCCACTTTCGCAGGCCTGGAAGGGATTAGGCATGCCGCTCGCTACCTGCAAGCTCATTCTAAGGGATCTGTCTCTTAAACTAGCAAGGGACAGGTGGAATAGCCTCACCACTTGCAACAAAACGAAGCTTACATGGCCAAAATGGGACAAAAGCGGTCGAAGGATCCCCTCATGCTGAGCAGAGGGGACCTAGCCGCAGCTGTGGGTCTGCTAACAGGCGACGTTGCTATCGGAAGGCACGCGGAGAGGTTAGGGATCCCCCATAACGATTTCTGCAGAAGCTGCAGAAATGAAGAAGAGCCAGAAACCTTGCGGCACCTGTTATGCGATGCCCCGCACTTTGTAGAAGAAGACAAAAGTTTATGGGTTCAGGATTCTTTGAGGACCTAACCGACATAGCCGAAGTAGGCATACGGCAAGTTCTGGGTTTCGCGAAATCCACACGATGGTTTGAGTAGGAGGGTTCTAACGATCCGCGTGGTATCACAACGGGCCCACAACCAAGGCCCTATGTGTGCTAGTGGGGTCACTGGCAGCCACTTCAACCTAACCTAACCTAACCATCACGTGTACGTGCTATTAAACTAATGCTTTTTTCTCAAGTAGTTTTGCTCAGTGGCAATTTATACATATGTATGTAAGTAGTAGCGGTACATTGGGTGAACTAAATGCATTCCTACATACTTATTTATGTACAACTGTAGGTAATATTGTACGCGTCTTTCCAGGTTGGTTAAGTGCGGGCGATAAACCCATGTAGCATAGTTACCCTGCAGTGAAATCCCAAACTAGTCAGAAAAAATACTAGTTTACAGCTAGAATTTCCAGACAGAAACCGAACTAGTTCGAAAATTACCAGACTTGTACCAAGTACAAAACGATTTATTCATGTCCTGTTTTATTTGACTTCGACAGTTTAATACAATAAAGTACACAAAATATTGTTACATTATTCAATTATATCAGTCCTGTTAAATAATGATTATTATTCATAATGATTATTAATTAAAGCATGTTTTTTTGGATAACCGTTTAATGTTTAAAAAACTATATTACCACCTTTTTCATGATTAATAAATAACTACTTAAAAAAAATGTTGATTCATTAATTTTAATTACATCATTATTTTGTTATTTTTGATCATTTTCAATTATTTTTGACTTTTTTTAATTACACGGTTAATATAATTATTTGATTAATTTCTATTATCAATCACCAAGCCAAACTATGGACAAAAATTAAGAATATTTAATAACTGCTTGAATTATTTATTTATTTTATTCTTATCCAAATCTCAAATTTCAAACATTAATTATTACTTTTATAAATTTTTAAAAATAATGGACTGAAATGTGCAAAGTTAATGAATTTAATTGGTTTACTTTTATTTTTATTTTAGTTCACTCAAAAATGATCGAAAGTATTCATTTTATTTTTAACTAAAATGTTTTTTTGTTATTTTAGGAGCTTTTCCGGCCGGTAGTTTAAAAAAGGAAAAACAAGTTTCCTTTTTTCCAATTGGACACATTCGACGAGCAGATGAGCGATAATAAACATTAGGCTGTGATATTTTTATTTATAGTTATTTATTAGTGATGTCAAAGTTAAATATGTTAAAATAATTATTGTGTCAAATGTGATGTAAATGTACAGATGTAAGTGTTACCGTCGAAGAATTGTATTTGTATATGTGTATATGTGTTGTTTCCATACTGCAATATGTAACATTGTATCTAATGGTTGTGTTTTTTATGTTTTCTTTTCCAAATAAATAAGAACAGACTCCCTGAAGAAGGCGAAAAACAACGCCGAAACGCGTAGGAGGAAAAAAGGAAACTTGTTTTTGATTTTTTTAACTACCGGCCGGAAAAGCTCCTAAAATAACAAAAAGATATTTTGAAAACTGGCCCGAAAAATAAATAAAATGTTTTTTTTTGCATATTCAATATTATTAAAAAAGATAAAAATATAGTATTTATTGTACCTGAAAACTTTTACTTTTAATAACATTTAATGAAAAATGCATTTAAATTTATATTCGAAAGTTTTAAATATCTATGTATTTATTTTTGCTTTTAATTAATACACAACAAATTTAACACTAATTATTGGCAAATCTAAAGCTGCTAAAAAAATGTGTAATATATTAAAGTGTAATTAAAAGTTTTTTATTGTATATTCATGAATTCATTTTATTTTTTGACTCCCAAAGTAGTGGTTTTGGTCCATAATTAGACTAGTATTTTTCTGTCTATTTTGAACTAGTATGAGACTGGTATATTCTCACCGAAATCTGACAATTGCCATCTCGTAGAACATCCCCATGTTAAAAATACCAGTTTTTTGCATGGAAAAAAGATAGTTGGCTGACTAGTTGTGCATGCGGTTCATACTAGTCGTGAGATAGTTTACAACTAGTTTATTTGACTACAGGGTAAATACTGTGTACATACCCGCAATTAAAATGGGGAAAATGTTACAATTTCGGCATGTGAAAAAACTCTAAAGTACACATAAATTGTGGCTTCCAAGACATGTACGAAGTGATTAGCACAGCTGCAGCCTTCAACTTGTCAACTTGCGGGAAATTCCCCGATTTGCAGGGAATTTCGGTTTAAGTGGCAACCGGGGAATGGGCAATTTTTTTCGGGGAACTGGGTATGTTATTTTTATACCCGAGCGCACTTGTGCACAAGGGTATTATAACTTTGTTCACATAACGGTTGTTTGTAACAGGCAAAACGAATCGAGATAGATATAGACAAATGTATACATAAATGATCAGAGCAATTTGTACCAAGCTCGGTATGGTTATTGTGCTTGCCACATAAAAGCAAACCGTTGAAAATTGTTGAAATCGGACTAAAATTGAGGCCGCTTTTCATATAACGGTAAATTTCAGATATGCTTGAAACTGCAATATTTCGAAATTTAAGGACGCTAATTTACTTAAAATGTATACACCCCGGCTTATCATGTAGCGGTAGCTTTCGGAAAGGTGGAAAACATATATTTAATACTTGCGCCGGGTATTTAATGTTCGGCTCCGCCCGAACTTAGACTTTCTTACTTGTTAGTAATAGCTCGACTTCAGCACCACTTGACAGCACGTTTTTGCAATAGTATTGCATCCATATTTAAAACATTAGCCAAATCGGATCATAAATAAGATTTTTAGTAATAACTCAACTACAGCGCCAACTGTCAGATTAAATTGTGAAACTAAACCATCCAGAGACCCACTCAAATACATAAAAAGTTTCGTTAAAATCCGTACAACCATTTAGGAGGAGATCACTCACAAACACATCTACAGAAGAATAAAAAAATTCATTCAAAGATAGCTAAAGGTCGGTACGTTTGTAGGCCTCACACCCCTTTTCAAATAGCCCAAATTTTCTCCATGAGTATGGGCTTGATATCAACTATATATATATCTCCATACGAAGTTCCAGTACTGTACCATGAATACTTTCAGAGATATGCAGTATAAAAATTCGATTTATATGGGAGGTGCCACGCCCCCCTTTCCAAGAGATGCCCTCTTTTTTCATGAGTATGCGATTGATTTCGTATATCTCCATACCAAGTTCCAGAACTCTACCATGAACACGTCCAAAATAGGCAGTATGAAAAATTCGGTTTGTATGGAAGATGCCACGCCCCCTTTTCCAATAGTTCCAATTTTTCTCCAAGAGTATGCGATTTATTTCGTACATCTCCATACAAAACTCTAGAA